TTTTTGTTCCGTTGCTCATTCATGTCATGTCATAGCAGTACAACCCAAGCCATCTGAAATGGTTTTCTTCCGATAACAAGAGCTGATCATGCCGTCCTGCCCATCCGCGCACTTGTCGATCAATGTGGGCTGCGCCTAGTTCTGACCTCAGGTCATCGTTGACCATAGGCTGTGACCGCCGCACTTGGGGCTTTTTGGAACAAGGCCAAGTGGGAAGTCTGATATTTCTTCCTCTGCCGGTATTCACTTAAAAAATATGGACACTGCCTACTCGTATTAGCAGACCGTGCAAAAAATCCATAAAATCACTAACGAGTACAAGCTTTCCTAGTAAATGATTTTACCCCAATGTGTTAGATATCACATGATTTGATGAAAAAAATTATTAGTGGAAGATTTAGAAGATTAGGGTCATAGAGGTGTTGAAAATAATGTCTATTGCATGGCCTTAAACTATTCATGTTTTTAATCCGGTTTAGGGAGCAGTGATTGTTTGGTGGAAGGGAGAGGTCATTTGCACCCCACACTCGGTTGTCCAGCACCTGCTCAGTGCTCGGCAGTGAGGGGCCGGGGGGAGGATGGGTCGGTCGCATAGACTGGCCGCCAAGGGAGCCAGGGAGACGGCGTCCCAGACGTGTGCCCGAGCACATGCAGAGCGACTGTGAACAGGCCTGAAGGGGCCTGGGATAGTGACTCTGCCTGAGGTTTTAGCTTCAGAAAGGAAGTGTTTCTGTCTAGTTTCAAGTACTTTCTCAATTAGTGCTTTCTGCCTATTTTCTTTATATTCTGTATTATTTGGTGGGTTAGGAATATGTGATGTTTGTTGTCCTGCAGACATCACCATGGTCCAATTGCTCCTGCCCAGTCTCCTTATCAGCAGCATTACCTGAGACACTAGAGGTGTGTGGAGGACATACTGAAGTAACAGCTCTGGGGAAGACCCAGCTGTGCGAGCACTGTTAGAGCTCAGGCATTGAAACACTCGGGTCATCTTTCCCGTGTCAGCCGACTTCATGATGCCTTTCCTGTTTCATCAGCCGGTTACCAGCAGGGCTTGGGTTTGAAATGAAATGCCTGGCGACGAATCGTGCTTCCTCATCTGTTTGTTCTCTTAGTAGATAGGACTGACTACGGTTTGCTCTTCTTCTAGCTCGAAAATGCCAGGCTGTCGTCAGAGATGAACACTTCCACTGTCAACAGTGCCAGGGAAGAGCTGATGGAAAGTCGCATGAGAATCGAGAGCCTTTCATCCCAGCTTTCTAATCTGCAGAAAGAAGTAAGTGAGCCTCTTCCCCTAAGAAGAATAAAAGTTGAACTTGGAAGCCACTTCCACCACGGTAGTCTGCCTGGCTTCGCTCTGCCTGATGCCGTTTTTCTGAGCGGGCGGAGTTTTTCTGCACTCTGGTTGCACAGTGCTCCCCAGAATTTTTCATTTTGCATTGCTGCACATCCTCCAAGCAGGAGACTGTTGGCCCTGAATTAAAGATTACCCAGAGCTGAGGGAGCTGCCTGTGAGGAAGCCAGCTGCTGGTTTATTCCCTGGTCCTACCCCAGGACCAGGTTTCCTGGCGCCCCCGCCCCCCAGCCTCATTCATCGCAGGCGGTGTCTGCCACGCACTCCCTTGTCATCACACGTGGACTTCAGTGAAGAAAACATGCAGACGTTATCTGGGCGCTAATGCTCTGTGTTTCTAGAAAAGTTCTCAGTTCATGAACTACTTCACTAGGATCTTGGGAAATAGCATAAGTTTGCATGTGAAGAATTTAGTGACATTCATTCATTGGTGCACCTAGTGGCAAGTGACTGTGTTGGCCGTTGTGTGGAGTGGGGGCCTGTCTGTGGCTGTGTGGAGGGGGGCCTGTCTGTGGCTGTGTGGGGGGGTGGGCTGTCTGGCTGTGTGGAGGGGGGTGCCTGTCTGTGGCTGTGTGGAGTGGGGGGGGCCTGTCTGTGGCTGTGTGGAGGGGGGGGCCTGTCTGTGGCTGTGTGGAGGGGGGGCCCTGTCTGGCTGTGTGGAGGGGGGCCTGTCTGGCTGAGTGGAGGGGGGGCCTGTCTGGCTGTGTGGAGGGGGGGTCTAGTTGTACTCTAGTGCAGCTGAAGCCGGCGTGGACACTGCTGGGAATCTGTTCGTCTAGGGGCGATGTTGTGGACACAGAATACATGTACAACCATGTAGTACTTAGATGCTTTAACAATCTACTGCTCACTTTACTTACTTGGAAAGTAACCTCAGCTTCTGTTTTCCCTAAGGGAGGACATTTATTGTTTAAACTTTCCATGTAAGACTAAACTTTATCTTATTCTTGATTAAACTTTTCTTTTTATTAATTTTAGTAAAATCTCTTTCTGATTTATAAAACTGAAAACACTTATTGCAGAAATTTAGAAAACAAAACAGTGACTGTCATAAAATAAGGTAATGTAAAAAAAAAAACTAAAACTGAAGCTTTTACAGTGCTTATATGTATACTTTACTACTCATAGCAGAAACGTACACGTTATTTTAGGCCCACTGACAGTATTTTGAAGTTTTCATGTAACAGTGATGCTGGAAGGACCTTGCGTTCTCCCAGCCCAACCCCAGACCCGGTGAGTTGCTGACTCGCCCAGGACTGCAGCCAGTCAGTGGGTCTCTCCTAGCTCCCGGCTCTGCACTTGACTCACCCACTCGCTTCCAGAGTGAGGAATTCACCTTTCAAATTTTTGTTTAGGAATTTAACAGAAAACATGTTTTCCATTACAGTATCTTAACAGGTACCTTTCAAAAATAGGCCTCTCGCCCTGGCCAGTTTGGCTCAGCGGTTAGAGTGTCGGCCTGCGGTCCGGAGAGACCCGGGTTCGGTTCCCGCTAAGGGCACGTACTTCGGTTGCAGTTTGTCCCCGGCCCTGGTTGGTCGTGCGGGTGGCAGCCACTTGATATGTCCCTTCACGCCGATGTTTCTCTCTCTCTCTCCCTTCCTTTCTCTCCCTCCTACTCTATCTGTACAAAAAATGGAAAAAAAAAATATCCTCGGGTGAGGAAAAAAAAAAAAAATAGGCCTCTGTTCTGAGTTGACATTTGCTACTTGTGTCTCCATTTAATAAATTATATTCCAGTTATCCCCTCTCTTTCAATTTTACATTTCCCTCTCTTTTCATATTTTTGGCTGCTGTTTAATCCACTCGAGTGTGCCCGGCATGGGTGTTTGACAGAGGAGTGGACAGACCCTCAGTTAGATAGTGGTGGGTCACGAACCTTGGGAGCCACGTCTCCCCACTGCTCCCGTGTGCCCGTTAGTTGTGTTTCCAGCCTCACAGGTTTTTGTTAACTTCAGTTTAGTAGATTTTAAACAATGTTCGGGGTTTTGGGAGCTAAGTCCTTAGGAAATAGGAGGGGAGCACCTACATTTCTCTGTTGCGGGGAGAAGGGATCCTCTCCTCCGTTCGTTGCAGGGATCAGATTTTATGATACGTAATATATCTTGAGGGGTGTCTCTAATAGTCGATGAATCTTGGCCTTAGAAAGATCATTAAAGAGAAAACAGCCATCTTTCTTCATATTTTGTCCTATGGTGTATCTTCGTAGCAGTGTTGTTGAGTCATCGATTTCATCATGTGCCTCCGAGGCCACAGAGTTTCCTCTCGGTTATGTGACTCATCTTACTGAAGCACTTCTTAAATTTTATTTAAAGCTGACATAGCCTTTAAAATTCTAACTTTGGTAAATATTTTTAAATACTAGATGGTAGCAGTGTTATGTTTTGGAATGACGGATTTCATATATCTCTTACACATCTTTATCATTTCTATCTAGACTTTTTACTTTGGCCGAATCAATTGGCTGGTCAGTCTGTGTGCAGGGTCTCCAGCGGCACTTTGAAAGCACATCTGATTTTGCTTTTCTAACACCCAGACTCTGGAAACTGCTATTGCTACTAGAGCATAATACACTAGTACAATAAATTGTTACATACTATAAAATAAAAACCCAGGTCATTAGAGGTCAGTCATACAATTTTAGATGAGAGGTGGGATCTTACAGTGATGTGGTTAGACCTCTTCATTTTCCAAAAGTGGGTCCTGGTTTAGTGCATGCCAGGGGTCTCATAAGTAGCTAATCGCAGAATTGGGGAGGAGAAAATCAAGGTCTGTTTCTTATGTTGTGTTCTGTGTATTTCACTACACAACAGATGCAGTGCAGCTATTTAAAATATAATTTAGCCCTGGCTGGTGGGGCTTAGTTGGTTGAGCATTGTCCCATGTTCCGAGAGGTCACAGGTTCGATTTCTAGTCAGGGCACATGCCCAGGTTGCGGGCTCAATCCCTATCCTAAAGCAGACTGTCCACATTTATTAATTGGAGTGCTTAAGTAAAGGTGTATTTCTTCTTTTTATACATTTATTTATTCATTTGTTTTTTCACATCAGTATGGGCTCATGGTACTTATTTGGTACTTTGGGTTATAATCCACCACATTATTGTATTGCTCAGATGTTCCCACTTTGGCCAGTAGGAGTTCTTCAGGGGGCTACCGCGCCCCCTACTTTGGAGGACTTCTTTACTTTCTGGTCCTCTCAGGTGCTCCGGCCTCATTTAGTATTTTCCCTGCCCCCACGCTAGAGTCAGCCATTTCTCCCAGGAGCCCTGGTTCTTGTTGCTGGAGAATGATACATAGAAATTGAGATCTGGGCTCTGAGTGGGCTCGTTGGTACTGGGGAGGGGGTGGGGTATTGCTTCTCAGCCCTCTTGAGGATAGAACTAGGTAATACATGTGTGTATGCTAACCTGTGTTTGCACACGTATTTGTCTACGTTATTTACATTAAGTCAAACACAAGTTCACACTGATGTCTCTGACTCACACCATGTACCTCAGGGTTCCTTTCTCGCTTACCTGTAATTTTTCTCGCTGAGAGTGAGAAACCTGGTTTCCACTATCACGTTTATTTTTTTGTTCACTCCCGGTATACATGTAAAATAGTGTCAAAATTGATGCCCCGCACCCCTGTGAGAAACAAGCCGACCTTGCAGAGTGCAGCATGTCTGCACGGTGTGGGGTCCTCATCTCGCCTTCAGCCTTCACGTGTGCAGTAGGTGCCTTTTCTTCTTCTCGGATGCAGCTATCTGTGGTTTCCAGGGCCTCAGCCATCCGTCCATCTTTTTGAGTTGATTACCTCTGTCTCTTTCTGAGGCTACTGAGATGAACTCTGTCTTGGAGAAATATAGAGGAATAATTATCCAGTGAGCCGCAATGTTTCTTAGATGAACTTTAGGTATAGGATGTGTGATTTCTCATTTTTAAAATATCAAATGTGAGGTCTTTATGTTTACAGTGATATTTTACAGACCACACTGTACCGTGCAGTCTCTGAGCTGACTGAGCGGGGAGAGCACAGCAGCCCTAAAGAGACACCGTCCCTAAGGGCCCAGCCATAGTCCCCTTCTTTGCTCCTGCATATTCCAGCCTTCTCCAGGCCACACCCACCCCTTTCTTCTTTTGTCGATGAGTTTCTTATCTTTTTAGTTCTTTACTTTGCATCTGAGCTACAAAAGGCATATAGGAGAGCCAGACTTTTATTAAAACCAGAGTTTAAAATTTTGTATTATTTGGCCAAATATGGAAAAATTATATGTACATTTATGACACGTTTGATGGATGTATCTTATTTTAAAGTATTTTATAAGCCAAAACTTTCCTGCGGGCTGTATTTTATATTGGAGGAATTTTGTTTTATAATTTTTTAAAATCAGAATCTTTCGAGTTCTAAATTAGGCATTCCTTAGGGTTCTATTTGCTTTCTAGTCTAGGAAGTGGTTCATGGTTTAAAATAGCTGCCTTGTGCTAATGTGGGAACGTTCCTAGAAAGTAAATGTATCGTTTCTTTGAATCTGAAGTCCAGAGCATGTTTGGAGAGGATTCAAGAGTTGGAGGACTTGCTTGCTAAAGAAAGAGACAACTCTCGGCGCATGCTGACTGACAAAGAGAGAGAGATGGCTGAAATAAGGGACCAGATGCAGCAACAGCTGAGCGATTACGAACAACTTCTCGATGTCAAGTTAGCCCTGGACATGGAAATCAGCGCGTACAGGAAGCTCCTGGAAGGCGAGGAGGAGAGGTGAGCGACGTAGGCGTCCTTACCTCAGAGTCTGCTTTCTGCCCCGTGCTTTTTATTTAAAGAAAAGTAAAGAGGATTGGGTTATATCTTAAAACAATCATGACCGCTTTAAATATTTTCTCTGTTGTTTCTTCTAATACGGGTATTGAGGTGTAGGTAGGAATCGATTGTATTTCTACCTTAGCAACGAAAACTGTTGCTCAAGTCTTTTATTATTACTACTGTTATTATTATAAATGCTGAACTGAGTGAGGATGGATGGAGTCTTTCCTTTGAGATAAGTTGTAAAATATCCTTGTAGCACCTATTCTCAGAAAACAGTTCCAAAGGAAACATATGATTTAGAGTAAAAAGCCGTTCAATTTCAATATTACGCACATTGTGATTGAAATTTTGTAAGGAAGAAAATGCAGGCATGACAAGATTTTTAGAAGTATACTAAATATAACAGTGTTTGTGGTAGGGTGGCGGTAGATGGGATGATTTCCTCCCGTTTTGCAAACCTTATGCATGATGGTTAAAGTCTATTCCTGGGAAAAACATTCAGATTACTTTTTTTTTTCTTTTTAAAGAAAACTGATGGTGGGGATCCTAGCACAAAAAAGAAGTTTATCTTAGTGAAGATTCATAATAGCTTTGTCTAAGAAATGCACGTGTAAGATATTAATGCCCCCTCCCCTGCTTTGGCCAATCCTCACCCCAGGATACTTTTCCATTGATTTTTTAGACAGAGTAGGAGGGAGGGAGGGAGGGAGAGAGAAACATTGATGTGAGAGACACATTGATTGGCTGCCTCCTGCATGACCCTGTCTGGGCCTGGGATGGAACCTGTAATTCAGGTATGTGCCCTTGACTGGGAACCGAACCCAGGACCCTTCGGTCCGCAGGCTGCACTTAATGCCCAAGTGTTTAAGGTAGGAAGGGCATGCGTGTTTCATCGCTGGAACGTTCCCTCTTTCCTGTGTAGACTGAAGCTCTCTCCAAGCCCTTCCTCCCGCGTGACCGTCTCGCGAGCATCCTCCAGTCGCAGCGTGCGCACGACCAGAGGGAAACGGAAGCGAGTGGACGTGGAAGAGTCAGAGGCGAGCAGCAGCGTTAGCATCTCTCACTCCGCCTCCGCCACCGGGAACGTCTGTATTGAAGAGATAGATGTGGATGGGAAATTCATTCGCTTGAAGAACACTTCCGAGCAAGTAAGAAATAGACTTGTTTTCCCCCCAGCAAGGCTTTGCTGATTGGTAGGCTGTCTTGCACTTGTAGTAACTCTGCAGCCTGTACTGGATTCAGTGGACTTCACGTAAATTCAATAAGAAAGTATAAGTTCAAATAGGAGGGGAAGAGGAGTTGGTGCTCTTCGTGGATCCGACCTTTTCCTCATTAGCCCTTCTTTACGAAAGAGCCAGGACTTTTTTCCACTCCTGTTCACTTTGTCACAGTGGCCTTCCTCAGGATGAATTCTTGTTACTCCCTGCCTTAGTGAGGCTTCTGAAACGTCTGGAGTGTGGGTGTAGATGGTGGGAATTCTGCAGCCGTCACTTCACGGAAGGGAGGGACGAGGAGCCAGACTCAGGTGTGTGCAGACGGTGCTTTTCTGCCCGAGCGAGTGAGTGAGGGAGTGAGTGCCAGTGATCTCATTTATATCAAGAACAGTATGAAGCCCTGTCTTGAAATTATTTGTTTAAAAGTAAACATAAAATAGCCATAGGGAATTCTAAAGTTTTCAGCTGGGGTTTTGAGGAGTGAGTCCGCCCTGACCAGGCGTCATGGAGCTGGGGGCTGTGAGGGGTGTGGGATGCTGGAGGAAGGTAGGTCTGGGGTGCAAGGGGATGACTCCCGCTTTTTGAATTATAGGTTCAGGGTTTGCAAATGGAGTTTGTGACAATCGCTCCTTCTCTCCGGCGCTATTCAGACGATCTTGCATGTGTATGAAGAAGTTGTTTGCGTGGGCAGAGGAGCAGTAGCAGTCGCGATACTAGAGACTAGTCTCTAAATGCTAACGAACAGCCTCTGCTGCTCCATCGTTTATGTAGTTTGGCTACGTTTTAAAAGGTGTAGCAGCCTCATTTGGAGCTGTTCTGAGGCCGGGTGTCAGCCTGGCTATTCTTGTCTGTGAGCGGAGGTGGCTGTAAGTCGGTGCAGCTAGTCGCTTTAACACCCTGTACCTTTCCTCAGGTGTCAGGCAGGTCTGGGCCGCTTGGGGCCTCGTGCTGGTAGCTAGCGCTTGGGACGGGCTCGTTGCACCACTGACACTTATGCTTCAAGGTAGGAGAGTTAAGTGGGCAGAAGTGGTAAAGATGCAGAAGAAAAGGGACTTTCTTCCTTCTGTTTCTAAGCTATTTTAAAAGCTTAAATTAACCGAGTATTAGATGTTTCTAATTATGATTAAGGCAGATGTGTTGTAAATTTAAAAGGCTCACCTGATCTGGCTCACACCCCCTTTCTTCCAGTTTTGTCCTCTTTAAAATTAAGTACGTTAGTGATTAGAACTGCAGCATTGTCGAAGTTATGATTTTGCTGAAAGACAAAGCCATATTTTCTCTTTCTTTTTTGTTTTAGAGAGTGGAAGGGGGGGTAGGGAAAGAGAGAGAGAGAGAGAGGAACATTAGTGTGAGAGAGAAACATCGGTTGCCTCTTGAATGTGCCCCAACTGGGGATCTAACCTGAAACCTGGGTTTGTGCCCTGACCAGGAACTGAACCTGCCACCTTTTGGTGTAGGAGATGATGCTCCAACCATCTGAACCACATGCCAGGGTGACGTTTTTTTTTATAATAGGAAAATACAAATCATGGAAATCAGCCATAAAGCTAGATTAAGTGCCTATATAGATTCATTTATTCGATTATGCCACAACTCTGTATATTTAAAGTGACCTTGTTTTATTTTGTTTTGTGAATAGGATCAACCAATGGGAGGCTGGGAGATGATCAGAAAAATTGGAGACACATCAGTCAGTTACAAATATACCTCAAGATATGTGCTGAAGGCAGGTCAGACTGTTACAGTAAGTGAATTTAGTAATCATTTAATTTCAGTGTCTTAACTAACAGGTAAAGCAATTCAAGAAAATTTTGACTTAAAAAAATGAAGCATTTTAGAAATAGCCATTAAAATGTCTTTGACATTATTAGGGAATCACACATACTATTAAATTTTAAAAGATCTGTGTTATTGAGAGTGGCAATTATCGATTAAAAGTGAAAGAATTGACCATTGAATTCTTTTTATTTTGTCTATACTAGTAGATAAAAAACAGCTGTCTCTTGACTGATACTTGTAGCCCAAGGTAATTCAGAAGATACTGCTTGGCATAAAGAACAGTTAGGAAGTTAATACTAGAGTCCGCCTCTGGGTTTTTTTTTTTTTCCATCCTCATCGAGGACACTTTTTCATTAATCTTTTAGATAGAGTCAGAGAGAGAGAGGGAGAAACATCGATGTGAGAGAGACACATTAGTTGGTTGGTTGCCTCCTGCACGACCCTGACAGGCTGGGGATGGAACCTGCAACTGAGGTACATGCCCTGGACCAGGAATCAATCCCAAGACTCTTTGGTCTATAGGCTGATGCTCTAATCATTGAGCCAAACCGGCCAGGGCTATCAGTTCTTTTTAAAAAATATTAAACATGTTTTTTTTTTTTTAATCCTCACCTGGGGACATTTTGTTTGCATTTATCTTCAGATAGAGCAGGAGTAAGAGAGGAGGGACGAGAGAGAGAAACATCCATGTGAGTGAGACACATTGACCGGTTGCCATCCGCACATGCCCTCTGTGGGTCTCTCCGGTCCGCAGGCTAACGCTTCAACCGCTGAGCCAAACTGGCCAAGGCTTAAACATGTTTTTTGTTTTTATCCTCACCACCCAAGGACATTTTTCCATTTTTTGTTCAGATAGAGTGGGAGGGAGAGAGAGAGAGAGAGAGAGAGAAATATCAACGTGAAAGGGACACATCAAGTGGTTGCCACCCACACGACCCAACCAGGTCTGGGGACAAACTGCAACCGAGGTACATGCCCTTAGCAGGAACCAAACCCGGGTCTCTCTGGACCGCAGGCCGATGCTCTAACCGCTGAGCCAAACCAGCCAGGGCTTAAACATGTTTTTGATTGATATAAACCTTACTTAGTGTCTAAGGTCAAAGGCTCAAGAAGTTTGAACTTCTTTTCAAAAAGTGTATTCATAGAGTTTGATGTCACATTGTGGAAATATCAGATGCCAATTTTATAAAAATGAATAAAAATGGGAACAAATATCCTAACTACATTATCCTTTTTTCTCCCTAGTAATTACTGTAGTGAGAGAAAATTACTCAGTCTTATTATATGTCTTAAGGAAGCTGCATAATGTAGTAGAATATTTTCATTCAGATGATTCAGATTTGAGTGTGCTCTATCTCTTTAAAGTAATGTGAAACCATTATGCCAATCATCTGCGTTTTCCACTCATGCAGTTCCGTAGGGACTAAATAGGTATATATTCTACAGGGCTAGTGGAGAAGCCAGTTATTATATAAAATACTATAGTGTACTTTTTTCTCTAGTTGGTAGCATTAAATGTAAGAAGAGGCTCTTTGGAACATGGTAGTGATAAGTGAGTATTCTATAAAATTGTACAAGGCAATAGCAAAGATGAGTTTAAAACTCTAGAACAGAAATAAGAGAACAACTATATGTAATTTTAAATTTTCTTTCTGTTTTATAAAACAGAAAGATGTGAAATTAACTTAAGCACTACATTTTACTTAATCCACTATATCCAGAATATTATCATTTCAACATGTGATGAATATAAAAAGTTATGTCAGATATTTTATTTTATTTTGAACCAAGTCTTCCAAGTTCCCGACGTCCTTCAGCACATCTGATTTGGACCAGCCGCACGTCAAGTGCTCGCAGCCACATCTGGCTGCCATGTCGAGCAGTTCGGCTCCAGGACATTAATTTTAGGTTAAATTACCCAGTAAGATTGCTGGTATTTATGACTCTTATTAACACGAAACCAACTGTGTGATTCAATGTGGACTCGTGGACAGCACTGCTCGCAATTAGGAAAACACCATCATTCCACATAGTCTGAAAGTCTGCCCAGACCCAGGCCCTTCTCTTCAGTTTTCTTCTAGTACATGCTCCCTGGGCCTGTCTGTCTGAGATGCTGAGGGAGGACCCGGAAGTGCCAGGTGTGCATCTGAAGAGGAAGGGCTCGCCTGACCAGTTCATAGGTTTCTCCCCTCTAAGTGTTCACCTGCCTGTACTAGCTCGTCGTCTTTGCCACCAGGTGGCCCTGTGCCTTGTGAATGTACGGGGTGGAGAACTTCCCTGTTTTCATCTGGTCTTCTGGAAAGATGAGGACTGGTAGATGTATCCCTACCAGTGAGGACACTGAGGTTCATAGAAGTGTACTGATTTATCCAGCATTCAAACCCACATTTCTACTTTAGAGTTTTCTCCACTTTACCCATACTCTTCTGCCAATAATTACATTAAAAATACGGCAGAATTTCCATGCTGATGGGAAGGAAAGTATAATTATTTTCTTTGTTTTGCCTAGTTCAATAGTAGTCATCTTACCCACTGAATAACAGGTGACTTGTCAATTTCCTGTATTCTTTTTGGTGATATTATGACACTGTTCCTGGTTGGAGACATACCAATTTCCATGAGTTTCCTCTGTAGGCCATCTGCTGCCAGAGGTTTGAGAGCAGTTAGTCATCTCAAGTCCTGCTGTAGGCACCTGGAGGACAGATATCACGGGAGGGGTCAGGAGGCCCCCTTAACGTGAAGGCTGGCCCATATCGCTCACAGAATTCATAGCATGCTAACAATGAGAGCACGTACTCAGTGAGCCAGCCAGCCCCTCTGGTCATCCCTTGTTCTCAGTGAAAATCTCACTATTGTAGGTCTCATTTCTGTCTCACTTTATGGATGACAAAAGTGAGGCGACTTGCTCAAGGTTAGCTGACATGTAGAGGAGCGAGGGTGTGGACACAGGCAACGAGCGAGCCCTCTGTCATCATCGTCACTTATCAGATGAGGAAGCTGAGCCCCGATGAGCCCTGTGGGTCCCCTGGACACAGCGAGTCAGTAGAGCATGTGTGCAGCTGGGTGCAGTTCTGAGGCTTAGACTGCGCCTGACGAGGTGGCGGCTCCCACTGTCATGTTGCCGCACCGGCACGTGGTCGCTGGGTTCTGAGCAGACCGCTGTCCTTCTGTGTTTCCAGATCTGGGCCGCAAATGCCGGCGTCACGGCCAGTCCTCCCACCGACCTCATCTGGAAGAACCAGAACTCCTGGGGCACTGGCGAAGACGTGAAGGTCATCTTGAAGAATTCTCAGGGAGAGGTATGGCCGTTGTGTCAGGACACTGCGACGTCAGTGCCACCGGGCAGTTCACCGCACGTGTGCTTTCTCCGGGAGCGTGTCACAGCGCTGGTGACCGCACGGGGCTCTGTGCCTCCGGGAGCGTCCTTCACGTCTCTTAGTTTTCCTCAAAACAGAGATGAGACGCTATAAATGAGATAACATTAATAAAAGGGGAGTAATGCACACGAGAACATCCTTGGGAGGTGCTTGGAACAGCACGTGGCCCCCAGTGGAAGTGTGTGCCACTAACCTCGCCACCGGCTCTCGAGTGCCTGCGAAGCTGTGAATTTGGAGATTGTGGTGTGAAGAGCTGCTTCACGTGTATGTTTTCACGTATCAGTCCTAGAATTCTTGTCAGAGAACCTCCCGTCCCCACCTGTCAGGTAGTCACTTGGGTCCCCGCCACACACATGAGCAGGAGGTGAGCGTGTCGGACAGAAGGAGTGGTGTCGGTCACAGCAGTGTCCCCGAGGGTCCTTCTCTCCGAGGGCCCCGCGCGGGCTCGGCCGCAGAGCTGGTCGGGGCCTCTCACTGGAGTAGTAAGGGCACCCGGCCTGGCTTTCCTGGCTGGCAGCGCCTGCACACACTAGGCTCGCCTGCACACACTAGGCTCGCAGCAAGAATTTACTGGATGCATTTGCATAAAAATCGAACATGGGCCTTCACTTAAGTTCAGAGAAATAAAGTAATTAACAGCACTCGTTATGCAGCCTGAGGTGTTTGCATAAGAAGTCCTGGGCCTGCCCCTCTCCCGCCCATCCCTCGCTGCTGGTTCTCAGGGTAGGAAGTGTTTGCAACGCCCGCGATAATCCGGCGTCAAAGTGCTGGGTCTTCTCTGCCTCCGGCCCTTGCTTCCTGCCTCCGGCCCTTGGAGCCCTCCCTGCCGGCTCTGCTGCCGCCTCAGTGCTGGGGTGGCCGGAGCTCCCCCGCTGGTAGTTTCCGAAAACGGAAATTGGTAGAGGACACGTCTGTTTCAAACACTGAGTGAGCGGTGATTCGCTCAGGTTGAGGAGCACGTTATAAGGCAGCGGAGACAGGCTTCTGTGAGCTGTGGAATCGAGTACCACCCTAGCGTGTTTGTTTTTTGCTGTGTGAAAATGTGTTCCAAGTTAGAAGTACTCCTGATAGGAGCGTATTTTAAAAGCCCACGTAGTAGGCACCATGACATGGGTGTGTCTCGAGGTGGTGGTATCGATGACGTTTCCGCGAAGCCCACCGCGGCCCAGGCTTCCCTTCAGAACTCAGACCGCTGACTGGCAGATTCCTGTTGGCTGGTCTGTTCTTGTAACAGACTATTTCCTCCTGCCTGCTCGGCTCTCTTAGATGACTTCTGCAGAAGCAAGGGCAGTCTCACACCTAGTTATTGACTTCTGTGATGGCCAGATGAGAATTGTGGGCATCTGTTTAATTCTGTAAGACTATGTTTATTAGTAGGTCCCAGATCATATTTACAGCGATCTATAATTATCACCATAAAGACCACTTTTCTGTAAGGTTGGAGATCATTGGCTCAAGTCACTTTAATTTTCTATGTATATTTACTTCTTACTGAGTCATTGAAAATGTCAGAAAACCCAGTTAACCTGGCTTTAAAATAATGGGGCTAGGTGGGGTCACAAAACCACAAAGCAAGGGCTGGTAGACTGGATCCCGTGTGCCCAGGATCCGTCTGTTGTCTGCTTCCCAGGGCCTCTCCCTCGGGGCTCAGGACAGCTGCTGGCCCCCCAGAGCGCGTCATTCAGGCTTGTATGGGGAAGACATCTTCCCGCGAGGCCCGCGTCCTGGGCTTCTGTCTTCTGTGCCAGCTGGGGTCCCGTGCCCACCTCTAAACCAGCTTCCTGGCCAGAGGACAGTTAGAGCTTGAGCCTCCCTCCCCGTGTCTGGGTCGCACTGGGCTCCTTGGGACACACGCATCATCTCCACGGGAGAGAGGAGAAATTGGGGCTCTTACTGGGAAATGAGGGGGGGTGCTGGATGGTTAAAAATGATATCTTTGTATGAGGGAAATAAAAAATAAAGCAGTCTCTCTGTACCTTGCAGAATATAGGCATAACGGAAACTTGTATATGCAAATGGTTACTTATGTATATAGAGATATCAGAGTTTAACAACCAGCCCCTTCATTAACAAAAGTGCCCTGAGTTGTAGCATTTACTGATTTCAGTGGTGTACCTACTCCCACCGTGGTGATTTCGGGCCGCCAACAGGCCCTGGCGGAGCAGAGGTGTGAAGAGATGAGCACATCAGCGCGTCCCAGCTGGCACTGGCCGCGGGCCCTGCTGATTGGGTGGCTTGCCTTCGCATGCCCGAGGCCTTACCGGGCAGGCCCACAGCATGACGTAGAGACCATGGGTGTGTGCCGTCAGGGCACTCCTGGGGCTGGGTGTCTTGTTGAGAGGAACTGTTTTGGTAAAGACTTTTATCTATTAGCACCTTGGGCAATAACAATTTCCTGGGTCTAAGCCTAACAGCTTTTGGTTCTAAATTTGTTCTATTATTTTTCTGTCTAGATTTTTATTTTAATTTTATTTTGTTACAGATGTTTCTCCTTTTCCCCCCATTGACACCTTCCTCCCTCCCCCGCCCCAGCATTGTTGTCTATGTCCATGGTTACACATACATGCATATAAGTTCTGTGGTTTATCTCTTCCCTCCCCCAAGCCCCTCTTCTAAGGTTTGTCAGTCTGTACCCTACTTCTATGTCTCTAGGTCTAGATTTTTAGATAGTATTTAGCTCATTCGTTTTCCATACAGGCTTTTTGCATTAGAGTAATTGGTTTTTAAATGTTGCCTAATGAAAAGTGCTTAACTGCAGGCTTACATTAAAAGTAGTTCTGTTGAAGTAATTCACACCTAATGAAGTTGGGCCAGTTGCCGTTTTCTAAGCTTCTCATTCGAGGCCAATGGTCTCGTTATATCATGAGCTTTAAGAGCCAGTGTTTCCGTGAGGGACATGTACACTGGCTCAGGCTGCTTGGAACTGGACTGTGAGGGATCTGTAATGGATTTTGAAGTATTTTTCCTTATTTTAAGATGAGTTGAGGAAAGCTATGTACTTTGAAAGCTTTCTGAGAATCTTTTCCATGTTAGTGCCACCATCTTCCAATCGATATCTTAGTTTAGAGAATTGTAGTTGATCTAAAGATTCACATGCTTTTTTATTAGTGCTTGGATAAAGCAAACAGATACTTGTGAAATGACTCTGTGTGTGGACATAGACTGGTCTCACAGAACTGAAGTTTCCAGCTAATTGAGAGACTCAAAATGGGTTATCTTCCCTGGCCCTGCAACCGTTACCAGAATTCCCACAAAGCACTGCTGTCCGACCTTCCTTCATCCACCGATTGCATCCTTGGACATATTTGAAACTGAAGTCTCATTTCTAGGACATTTTTGGTTTTCTTCCTCTGCTGTTTTAAACTAACTGGTCTGTGTTAAATTTCAGATAAGCTTTCACTGACCTGTTAGCATCTTCCTGTTCCTCTGAAGGAGTTCTCTCTCCCGAGGGACCTTAAGTCTCGGTACAGAGTAGAATGAGATGCTCCGCTGAACTCACTGGGACACTCCCTCACCTGCGGCCAGCTCGGCGGGCCAGCCTCGTGCTTCAGCGGAAGCCGGCTGTGCTTGGGCTTTCAGTGGGTGACGGGGGTCTGTTTTATGTGTGGAATACATTGGACTTCACTCGTGTGTTATTTTTATCAGTGGTGCTCATTGGTCTTGATTCCATTTCATTCAAGAGGAGCCAGTTGCTGAAGGAATGAAAGGAGCTCATCCTTCCAGCTCACTCATCAGGTTGTCCTGTTGCTATCATGGTGTCTGAGGTCACAGCAGCTGGCCTCCAACTTCTCCTTTTTTTTTGAATTGGTTTTTTAGAGAGAGAGGGAGACAGAGAGAAACATCGATGTAAGAGCAGAACAGTGATCAGCTGCCTCCTGCACGCCCCCTAGTGGGGGTTGAGCCTGAAACCCAGCCATGTGCCCTGACTAGGAATCTAATCGGCAATCTTTTGGTTCATGGGATGAGGCTCCAGCCAACTGAGCCACACTGCCCAGGGCTCCAGCTCCATTTTATTCAGCATTTATTTAGCACCTTCTCTTTTTAGGAGTCAAGCAAGAGCTGTACTATGCGTTCACACTGAGTTTTAAGAATTTAGTGCCAAATCATTGACAGAATTCTTGGTAATAGAACAGATAGAAAGCAGTGGAAACTTCTCAGCAGGCATTTCAAATTGGGTACCAGTAGCTCCCCTGCAGGGAATACTGAAGATCTAAGAACCACTACTAATTATGCAAAAATTCCTGTTCACTAGCTAAAGCTACTGGTGAACCACTTTAAAAAATGTCCCTGATTTAAGAATACTGTTTCTTA